AAATCGATCTCAGGTTGGTCGTGTGGGCCGCGTGCAAGGCAAACACCCTACCCTCTGTGCTATCGCTCTAGCCCGATCAAATCAAATATGTACATAATATCAAATATGCATATAATATAAAATATATTTACAATATAATACTATGATAAATTCCATGTGTTTAGCATATGATATTTAAAACACAGAACTGACAACATGGCTAAAAATAAGAGATAATTTCCAAAATTAGGGATATAAAACAATTATGAAATTGTTGCTCTTTGAGTGGGACCTTCCACATCTCCTGTGTTACTAACATTCAATGCTAGAGCACAAGATTGTTATACTGCCTATTTATTGTCATATTGGAGACCAGTAGGGCCACCTCAGTAGTGCTCTGGGTGCACTGAGACCATAGCCAATGACATGCAGTGGCTTTAGCACTACACTCAACAGTGCTGAGGGAACATGTGATACAGGGGATCAAACCCGGTTCTATTCATGCAGAACATGTTGACTGACTCCTATGTTAAGTCAACATGAGTTGTAACGATGTTTTAAGCAAACACAGGATTTTACGTAACTATAATTTTAAACTGTTAATGGTCACTGATTTTAAAGGTACAATCTTACTATTCCACACAATGCCCATTACTAAAGTGAAAATGCACATTCCATTCATCCCTCACATATAAATGTAATCCATTTACAGTCTTGCAAACTCAATTACTTTTAAAGGGTCTAGGTACTAAAAACTATCAGTTTGATTAAAAGATGCGTGGCAATAAATAATGAATGCAGTATAAAAACCTTTTTTTTTCTTTTTGAGTCACACCCGTCAATGCACAGAGGTTACTCCTGGCTCTGCACTCAGGAATTACTCCTGGTGGTGTTCAGGGAACCATATGGGTTACTGGGAATCTAACCTGGGTTGGCCACGTGCAAGGCAAATGCCCTACCCACTGTGCTATTTCTCCAGCCCCATAATATAAAAATCTTTTACAGAGAAGTATATGATGAGCAGTGAATGAAGACTTCTTGGAAGAAAATGACCCTTAAACTAATTTAGTAAGAAAAATGGAGTATAGGAAACTGAGGAGAAAAATACAGCATACACTAAAATAATGTAAGATAGAATTTTTAAAAAATATGAGATTGTGGTTATTTTGAAATTGTGATTTTTCTAATAATAAATAGAGATTATTTTCAGAAGAATAACAAAACACATAAAGCATAACCTAAAACAGCTTATTGAGTCTAGAGAGCTAGTGTTAATTCTTTACATGAAGGAGGCTTTACTTTAATATGTCAACAAAACAACACAAAACACCAACCATAATTTTGCTCTCGATAAGCAATATTTCAAGGTAATGTTGAAAGATACTACCAGTGACTTTTAATTATTTTCATCTTCTCTACTTGGACAATATATTCTTTCTACCATTTGTTTTGCTAACGGTTGAAGTGAATAAATTAAACCTCAAACATATTCTCAAATTATCAACAATAATGATTATCATTTACTAGAGATTTTTATTATAAGTATCCTGTTTTAACGAGCCCGGCAAGCTACCAAGAGTATTCGATATGCCAGACACAGTAACAACAAAGCCTCCAATGGAGATGTTACTGGGCCCGCTCAAGCAAATCGACGATCAACGATCAACGGGAGGGCCTTTACCTTTACCTTTACTTTCATCCTTAAAGCAACTTCTGGGGCTGGGTAGTTGCCCTGAGGACTTTAGTGAGTGATTTGCATGCGAAAGGCCTGGCTTCAATGAGTAAGACCCAACGATTTCTCAAACTTTGTTGAGTGTAGCCTCCAAGGAAGCAAACAACAAAAAAATCCATAAATAAAAATATCCTTCCTTCTTTTAGTGTTGAAGAAGTTAAGCTTATCATGAAGTGGTAAGTCTTGCTTATCTTATTCTCAATGCCATGCACAGTCTGATATCATAATTTATTAATAAATATTATGAATAAATAACTTACCAAAGAGAGATGACTCACTAAAGAGAGGAGTATGATTTTGCTAAGGCCAGGGTTGCACATAAATAGAAGCACCCTTAATTCCTGGGTTATATTGTGAAATGATTAAGGAACAATGCTCCTAAAACTTTTTGTTGCTTGGGACTCTCCAGAGATTCTTGCTGAAAATTTTAATTTATTATGTCTGGGTACAAACCTATTCAATTCTAAGGTAATACTTGTATAAAAATTGTGAAATTTTTTTCTGTGCACTTATGAGCTCATAGGGAATAATTAGAATTGTGAATGATGGTTGTGGTTCCATCTGTGAAAAAAAGAGGAATAATCACTTCAATGGTGATTAAGTCAACACCTGCAATGCAATCTGGCGACTTTTTCCTTTCATTCATCTCACAGAGCTTCTTAAACTTGGCACTAGCTACTCTGAGATTCACAGTTCTTATTTGTTTTGAGACCCATAATTCTTTACTCTTGTATAGTTTATCTTACATTTTATGATGGATAGCAGAAACTGTGGACTCTACAACTAGGTACAAGAGTCCATCCTCCAACCCAGTTGTGACAACTGAAAATGGGGACAAATTGTCTCAAGTTGGAAATTATGACACAATGAAAGATAAGTTTGTTTGTTTTTAACCAATCTTCCTATTTAGCAATTGCTGGCTTGCTTATATTTTGTGAGACTCCTTATATGTTTCTTCTATTATTCTTTTGTGAGGCTTGTTGACTTTTACAAATTTACAATATGCACTTCCCCCACCTAACACACACACACACACACACACACACACACACACACACACACACACACACACTTATTCAATAAAAGAAGGCAGTAAGGGTCAAGACATGAAGATATTTAAAACATTTCTTCTTAGGTTTTGAAGGTTTTTACAAACATAGAAAACTATAATTAACCATGAGAGCAGAAAAGAATTAGTTTACCTGAAACTATATGTCATTAAAAATGAGAAAAATCAAGGGAAGAGACTAAGAAAAATGGAGTGAGATAAAAGTGCTTACAGTAAAGAAATAAATAATTTGAAAATACTGTAGTACAAAATTGGCCAAAATATCAATTTAGAAAAATACAGAGAATTTTTCAGCCTGAAATTTACTCCAGCTCTTCAAATAGACAGCTCACAGTAACCACCAAGGCACTGTCTTCACCTTTCCTCTCCATTAAATTCTCCTGTTCTTAACCTCCTTCAGTTACATTTGAATGAAACCTGTTCAATAATGTCTGATGGAAAACCATCATCTGCTATTGTATAACAAACACACTGCAGGATCATATTCCCAACAATTTGCAAAAAATACATGATTTTAGCAAAATTCAGAGTAACAATATGCAAAAAATACATCATTTTAGCAAAATTCAAAGTAACTAGATACATATTTGTTACTCATTACATTCTTCTAGTGAATTAATTCTTAGTTTGATGACTAAAGATCAGTGAATTCGTGTACACATCCAATGAAACAGTTAAATAACTACCCACTTATATTCCTCATTGAAGAACACAAGTGCACACACTTGCATACATCAGTTTAATTGACTAACATTTTAACTAAATTTATTTGCCTCAAAATCTATTATAATGAAACTTATTGTATCATACTTTTAAATATGAGGTATAGTGAATGATATGCTTGTGGACCAGACTGTTGCTTCCTAATAAAACTATAGTAGAAAAAGAAAAAAACAAGTAGCTTAATATGTATTTTCAGATGAGACTTAAAAAGGACATAGTAATCCATCAAAGAGAGGAAACAAAAACTCATCACAGTACCATCCTTTTACTTTGGGACAAAAGATATGTGTAGTTTTGTTACCCCTATGCAGTTTGTGGTTGCAAAAGGTAAGTAGCAATAGTGTTCTTATCATTATGCATAAAGGGTTACTTCTGCCTTGAATGATTTGCAGAGAGACAGATACTCTTAGCTAGTAATTTGATGTTCATCTTTGAGTATGGCCAATTTTAGGTGGTTGCTGTGATTAATGAGACAGTCAAAACCCCCAAACCTAGGCGACTTCATTGTGTAGTAGAAATTTCGAAAGGCAGATAGCAGAAGATGGCTGGGCAGAGTAAGCCTGCTTCCGACACACCACTATCTTTGCCTGTACAGTTGTTCAAGCTGCCGGAGGCTTTCTGGTTGCCATGGCAACTGCTGGGCTCTGCTGCAAACTCAAAGCAGAGCCTCTGAAGTTAGGTACCAACACTGAAGCTCAGCAACAAACGCAAAGGCAACTGGGGAGAAGAAAGGAGAACAAGATTAGCCACACAATAAGTCTAAAACTGTTGATATTTTTAAATGGAAATTTTATTATTATTAATAATATTATTTGGGGGGGGGACTGAGACAGGTCTTTCCTGGCATTAATCCTCAGTATTTTCTTCTGATGGGGGGATGGAAGGGGGGTAAGAGACCACATACCCGCTCATTCATAAATGCTGCAGAAGAAGGAAACGTGATGATTACCAGAAATGTGCCTAGCTGGCTCATTCATTCATTCATTCATTCAATTGGTCAGTCAACATTTCCGGAGATCCCGTTTGTGCTTGAGGCAGTGTGCCAAGTGTGACTTCTGCTTAGAGAAATAAGATACTGCCTTCACTTTCAAAATTAGCAAAAATTTACTGTACTTCGTGAGTCTGGAGCAAATCAGTTAGGCACTGCTGGCTTCACAGGGGTCTTTTCTGGAAGACTCAGAAGCCCAGATCCCTAGGAAAAAGGGGCAGTGGCTCTTTGAAACAGAGGCAGGCAAGAGGAAAGAGCCGCGAAAAGCGGGAGGCTGCCTTTCTTTTCCAGGGAGGGAAACTGTGGATGCCACTCAAATGTTTCTCTGCCGTGCGATGGTGAAGAGGTTTGTTTTTCTTTTAGAAAAACGGAGCCCTTTTCCCTACTGGGCTCAGAGTCTAGTAGGAAAAGCCCCGCCTTTTTGAGCTGCTGATTGGCCCGATTGTTTTTCAGATAATTTATGCCAGTATCCTCTCGTTCTGATTGGCCGGTTTTCTTAATTCCTCTGGGAGCTGCATCCTACCTGGTTAGGAGGTGTATTGCCTTCCCACACCCCGGTCTCTCGTACTCATCCGATTGTAGGGAGAGGAAGTCTTGACTTGGGAAGCTAAGCGAGCAAAGTGATCCAGATGGGTACTTGGAAACCTTTTCTTTGCTCCCCCTTTCTTCCGTGGAATCAAAGTAGAGGAGTAAGATTGATGCTCTTGTTGCTGGCTCTGCATTTGGGAAACTGGTGAGTAAATTTAAGCACTTTTAACTATTCTTTGATATCTGCCCTTTTCCCTCTCGGGACTCTCACATTAAAAAAAAATCATTCTAAGTCATAAGAAATTTGAATTGCTTTAAACACATACTTTTGCAATATTTGCCATTCGTTAAACTCTTTAATTAGACCTCATTTTTTTTAGGTAGAATGATATTGTCCTGATATGACATTTGTAAATATTTGAATGATATTTGTAAAGGGTGAAGGTTAGTTCAAATGATTTTGACCTGAGGTTGAATAAAACTAATAAAGGTTCTGTTACTGGAATTGCAGACGGGAGTAGAAATAATTTTGCTACTGAATTTAACAAATGACTCTCACTGATTAACCTTGTATATAATTCTACATTTTAAAGACCAAGTTATTTTAGAAACTTTTCACACAGCATGATACTTTTCTATATTCTAATGCTGTTTTCTCTTCTCCTTTTAAAATATAATTATTCTGGAAAAACAAAAAAAAACTTTTACATCAAGAATGGTTACATCATTATTCAGGGTTGAAAGTGTGTTATATTTAAGAAGAAATTACTTGAATTAAAAAGAAGAAGAAATCACTTCTGAGCCAGTTTTGAATAATTTTAAATTTAATTGGTTATTGCAAGTAAATTAAAATTGTAGTGTGAGGGTACTTCCTGATTATGGTGTGTATATGTGAGTGTGTGTGGGGGGGAGAGAGTAAGAAAAGAGATATTAACAACCTAAGACTCTAGGACTTGAGCTGTAATACCTTTCAATAAAACTTTGAAATCATTCTTGTAGAAAAAAGCTAAATCTTTATGTACTGTACCAAAATATAGTAAAAGTAGCTGAGAATTAAAATAGAAATATGTTAAGACATAGACAGTATATAGATTTTAGACATGATACCTACACATGCCAGGTAAACATGTTTTATATAATTACTTGTAAATTATATTTTGTATTGTGATCTTGCTGAAAACTAATGAGGAAAAAAAATCACATGTAGGTGGAAACATTGTAACATTATTTGCATTATTATATTGATTATGCTTAATTTTGTATATAGTTAGAATATTTTCCCCTTACCTAAGCTAGACTGTATTTGTCTCTGGAAAATAGAGAATGAATGAAAAGAGTATTATGCTTAAAAGAAAATGCTTTATGCTGCATGCCTTTTGAAAGTCTTGTAGTTTTTATTTATTTACTCTTTTTCCCTTAGAAACATAAATATTATGCATGGACACAAACATTATTTGTCAATAATTTCTTACATATATTGTATAATAATGACTTCATTGGATGTTATAAAATTATTGTTGACATTTTGTAGATCAATTATATTGCTCTCATGCATGTTCATGTATTATAAAATAATCTGTGTTTTCATAAATAAAACCAGAGTTTCTTAGTGTTTTTGTGATATAACAACCTGTCTGCTCCTTTTCCTTATAAGTGCAAGTTTTTCTTCTGATCTAATAGAAAAAATGCCTAGTAAAAAAAGACACTTAACTTTTCAAAGGCATTTCTGTTTTAAATTATTTTTTCTTTTTGAGGACATTTACAGTATTAAGAATGCAATGATCAAGAACTCTCTTCAAGTTGCTGGGAATTAGAGATGTATATGATGTACAGGGTACACATGAACCCTGGAAATCTGGAGATAATTTTGTGTGTCAGAGGTCCTTCACTTCCTTATGGTCCTTCACCTCCCTATACACTGTTGTGATTTCATACAGAAAATATAAAATAGCATTAAAATATCTTCTAGTTGTTACATTCAACACGTTCCCTTTTGTACTGAAATATAAAACTAATGTAATGGCTATTTTACTAGTTTTCCTTTGTAGTTTTCAAGAGAAAATAATTGTAATTAAGAATAGCATGTGTGTTTATTTTTGAGCCCATGTATGATGAGTACAAAAGAGATATTGTGCAGTTATAATAGATAAATTTTTGTCTTATATCTATGGAAAAGCTAAATTATCATGTAAGTAAATAACAAAAAATGGAAACTATATATTGTTGCTACTAGCTTATGAGGGCTTATGACTTTAGTTTGTAAAGTGCTGTAGTTGAGGTGAACTCTTTGTCTTTTCTGTTAGAGATGTGATGTCAATATGTTTGTACAATTTAAATGCCTGTTTCTCCTTCTTTTCATACTTATTTGTAGGGTAACTAGCCACAGGTGATTCTGCTTAATGAGGATTTTGATGTCATATAATGGGTTTCTAATATAAATCTTCAAAGTCATCTACTTTGGGTTTTATTAATTTGGAAGCTATTATTTCTTATATGTAATCAGAAAGAATTCATTGTTTCTTCAATACGTTCCATCAAGAGCACAGAGACACTACACTGATTCATATACTGCTAAATTATTAATTCATTTTTACTAATATAATTAAAAGCTATAATCATGGTACTTATGTTATAGTCTCCATGATGCTCTATGATATCTTAATAGTTGGTCAAAATTTCTTGAACTTGAATTGATTTACTTTTAATGTTGAAAAAATTTAATTACAATTTCTAAAAATTGCTGAAAATTTTTGTAATTTGAACTTTTCTAAAAAACAATTTACAGTGAGTTTTAAAGTAAGCTTATTTAGTTAAGGTAATTTTTTGAGAAAGTTTTTTCCTCTTAGAACAATCATGGGCCAGAGAAATAATCCAGTAGGTAGGGTGCATGCCTTTCACTTGGCTGACATGGGACCAGGTTCTATCCCACCACCCAATATGGTCTCCAGAAGCTGCAAGGATTTGTTCCTGAGCACAGAGCCAGGAACAAACCCTGAACACCACTAGGTGTGGCAGCAAAACAAAACAAAAAGACCATTTTATGAATTAGTAATCATACTATTTGTTATTCTGATACTTAGATAAGCTTGCTTTATAAAATATATTTTTCATGTAAGGTAAAGGTAAAAGGTAAAGGCCCTCCCGTTGATCATCGATTTGCTCGAGTGGGCCCAGTAACGTCTCCATTGGAGACTTTGTTGTTACTGTGTTTGGCATATCGAATACTCTCGGTAGCTTGCCGGGCTCTCTGAGAGGGGCAGAGGAATCGAACTTGGGTCGGCCATGTTGACCGCTTGTAAGGCAAATGCCCTACTGCTGTGCTATCGCTCCAGCCCAATCCAAAAAAATCCAAAAATCCAAAATCTTTGGATTTTTCATGTAATTTCATTAATAATTTTTATGGAAATATTTGTCAATGAGTGATTTTTAAAGGCATTTGGGGGCCTACTTTTCTAAGGACATAACAAAGACAGCTATGCAAACTTTAGGACAAACTGAGTCTTGATACTCCACAACACTTAAATGTTCAAGAAAGGAATGGGAGAAAATGACGGTGAAATTAAAATGAAATTGATAAATGTGACAAGGAAGGTGACATTCTAAAGGTAGTTCACTGGAAGTATGGAACTTTTTAAAAAGGGAGACTGCTAGAAGAAGCAATGGTATATGCAAATGATTGTAGTTATAGACTCAAGAGAACAATTCACATATTATTTATATATGTTCCTGGTCATAAGTGGGAAACCTGGACTTCACCAGCAAATGTGATTTATAAGTTCAGTGACACTCTTTCCTATAAATGAAAACATATATTTGAGGTTAATAGTCCTTATTTGTAAAAAATTGAACTGTCATCTTCTGTTTCAAATTGTTTTAAGATCAAGAGAAAAAATAACATCAAGAAGACTGTACATATACTTTTTACTGGAAAAAACCTAATAGCAATCCTCATATAGAATCACGGTAATTCTAGTATCATAGATCTTAAAGTACTTATATGTCTAGTAAAGTACTTGGATCCTATTGTGTTATTAAGTATTTTGGGAGTTTGAAAGACATAATTTTATTTTATTAATAAGTAATACTTATTTAATACTCACTATGCACCATAGCCAATGAAATAGACAGGGTTTACAGTAGTAATTAGATTAAGCATGGATACAACCCAAATGGAATTTATACTATATACAACTTCTAAGATTAAAGTTAAAGTAAGAACACAAAAATTCATAATTCAAAATATACAGGATTTTAAATTTCTGAGAAGAGGCTACTGAAGGAACAGATCATAATCAAGTTAAGATAATTAGAGATCCAAAAGTTTTGCCAGCAATATCTATATTATAGGGAAATTGTCTCAAAATTTTAGAGACAAACTTTAGCCTAGAGGAAAATTCTTAGCCAAACTATCAAGCAAATAAGCAAATGTGAAGATAAAAAATAAAACCTCTACATTGCTATTGTCTCCAGTTTTGAGTGGGCAAACCAGAGCGGTGAGTTTGGGAAACTTGTTTAAGGTCATCTTGTTTTTCATTGCTTAATTCAAGATTCAAATTTATTTAATATTCCCAGAGTTCTGCATTTTTTTCAAATTGAATCACTGTGAGATACACAGTCACAAATCTGTTCATGATCACGCTTCAATCATAAAATGTTCCGATAACGATCTCTCTACCAGTGTACATTTCCTAGCACCAATGTCCCCACTTTCCCTCCCACCATTCCCCACACTCAGTCTGTCTCTAGGGCAAGCACTTTTCTTCTTTATCTCTGTCTCTGTTAGTGTCTCTGTTGGTGTCTCTGTCTCTGTCTCTGTCTCTCTCTCTCCCTCTCTCTCATATCTTTTGGACATTATGGTTTGCAATACAGAAACTGAGAGGTTATCATGTGTGTTCCTTTACCTACTTTCAGCATGCAGTTCTTATCCAGAGTGATTGTTTCCAGCTATCATTGTCACAGTGGTTGCTTCTCTATCCCAACTGCTTTCTCCCTTAGCACCACAGACAGGCTTCCAACTGTGGACCAATCCTCTTGGCCTGTTTCTACTGTCCTTGGATATTAGTCTAACATTATGTTCCTTTATATCCCACGAATGAATGCAATCATTCTATGTCTGTTCCTCTCCTTCTGACTCATTTCCCTATGTCTCTCTGTGTCTCTCCATGTCCATTTATTTATAAGTGAATTTCTTAACTTCAGTTTTCC